TAGGTATAAGAACCAGAGCCTTCCTGCGTGAGACGCGTGGAGCACGAGCCCTGGCTCACTGTCCCCCTCCTCCGTACAGTTTGACCCAGTGGCGTACAGGATTGAGCCCATGATCGTCCCAGATCTGGAGTTTGAGCCCATGCTGCTGCCTCACCACAAAGGCAGGAAGAGAATGCACCTAGGTAAGGTAAAGGGCAGCCCCTCTCCCCCTGCCCTGTGCAGCTACTGCAGCCCCCAGCCCGACACCGACCCCTCCTGCCTTTCAGAGCTGAAAGAAGGGCTGACTCGCATGAGTGTGGACCTGAAAAACAACTTGCTGGGGTCCCTGCGGGTAGCCTGGCAGTCCTTCACTCGAGCCCCGCTGCCAGCCGTGGAGGCGGCAAGTACCGACGCCGAAGCGGAGGCAGAGGCTGGCGTGGAGAAGCAGCCAGGTCGGTGGTGCGCGCAGGGCGGTGGGGAGCCGGGGATGCAGCACTGCGACCTGCCCACTGAGCAGCGTGCTCGGGCTCCCTGCAGCCACGCCAGTGAGGTGTCCAACCTGGCATCAAACCCAGGCGCTGCTGCCCTTTTCTGTGCTCAGCAAAGGGATTGCCTTTGAGCTGCGGATGCCCTTGGCTCTCGAAATACTGTGGCCTTCCCCTGTTATTACCTGATGAAGGGGGAGAAGAGGCAACCTGCCTGGTCAGTAACGGCCTCCTGGGGGTCTCAGCACACCACATCACTTTGTAAGCCTGCCAAGCCTGTCACCCTTCTCTAGCTGTCTCTTGCAATACTGTTTCCCAAGAGAGAGCCCTGGGGGGAAGGACCGAGCACTTAAGCTGCCTCTCCTCTGCAAGAGCCCACGGTGGGGCAAAGGGTGGGCACGGTGATGCTGTTGTACTTTCATGGCTGCTGGTACCCCTTGGCTGAACCACATTGCTCTTCTTCATTCCTTCAAGACACAAAGCCAGACGAGACCCCCGCAGCAGTGAAGGAAGAGGCCTCCCTTGTTAATGTGGGGAGGCTGAACGGAGGGAATCGCATAGACTACGTGCTGCAGGAGAAGCCAATAGAGAGCTTTAATGAGTATTTATTTGCGCTACAAGGGCATCTCTGCTATTGGTAAGCTTCTGCATAACTGTCAAAGCTTCAAATTCCTGTCTGATGTAAGCAGAACGCCATCATTTTTAAAGCCAATGTAATAAGAAAAGCCTTAACTAAGTAAACAAGATATGCTCCTGCCTATAATGCAGGCACAGCAGGTGGGTAGGGACAGAGGAAGGAGACCATTGTAGTTCTCCTTGTCTAGTACTGCCTGCATTTGCTGAGCACTGCATCTATCCTATAACCATCACGGATGTCCTGACAGAGCAGGGGGAAGTGTCCCCCTCTAATTCCCATGTCCTCCTCCTCCAGGGAGTCGGAAGACACCGTTCTGCTGGTTCTGAAGGAGATCTACCAGACACAAGGTATTACACTGGATCAACCTTTGCCAGGAAGCCAATGACCAACCTGTGCTGTTCTGGCCGCTTGAGGTAAGTCAAGCCTTGAGGTAGTCTTGCCTACACCTTCCTTCCGCATTTCCTAGGACAGCTCAGAGGACATCGGTCCCTTTGAGGGAATAATATTCCTTATTTACAGCGCTGTGTCTAAGGCAGGAGTTTGTGTTGGGTTTTTTCTTTGGCCTGTCAGCGTGTTTGGCTTCTTTCCTCTTACCCTGCACATAAGCACTATCAGACATGAGGAGAGCTAATAAACTGCTGCTGCTGACGATAAGGGTAGCAGCAACTGTGCACGGTTACGATCAGTTCGGTCCACCAAGGGAACGACCAGCTGTGTGCTCGTACTCCCAAGCCTCCCAGGCTAAACATTTCTTGTAGACAGGTAGCGAACCAGAGCGTGGACCCTGCGGTTCTCGCAGGGGTGCTTCCACCCTCTGCTGCTAATTGCTGGCCGAGGGTAGACTAGGGGTAAGGCGCATCCTTATGTTTTCTTGCCCTCAAAGCCTAACGCTGGTAATTGCTGGGTGCGGGAGGCGGGGCTGGGTGGATTTTGGTCCGCCCTAGTGCAGCTATTCTTATGTTCTCCTTTTGCTTTCATAGATCCAGTTCAACCGAGTACTCACCAGGAAAGTCCAGATTTCTTCTCTGCCTTCCTCTCTCCTCTGCTGCTGTGTTCCCCGCATGCTGCTTCCCAAGTACTTGCTGCTACCTGGAGATAAGGATCATTTTCCTCCATTTTGGGTAGGGGCGGGGGAAAAAATATCAAGGGAAAACACTTCCGCTCAAGCACACACAGCACTTGCACGGTGACTCCCTGTGGCAACATGTACTTTTAACCCTCCACCTTGTAAGTTATCACGCTAGCTCCTCTAGCACGGAAGCAGACTAGCTGTCTGGGCTAGGAACTGACATCGAGGGCCTGACTCTGCTCCTGCCATAGTGAGGAAACTCGCAGCTTGTGACCTTGAGGAATAAAAGCCTTAAACACGTAGCGTGGAGAGAGCTATAGCAGCCTTGTCGAGCAAAGGAGATTGCCGACTTCTCCCTGCCGTAACACAGAGCACCAGGCGCAAGGACTGCGGTCTTTGGGAGGTGAAGCCCAGGGCACAGGCGTCTGCTGTTAAGCGAGCAGGAATGTGTCTACCAGCCATTCTCATCTCCTTGAATTGCTGCTGCATGGTTTGTGCACCTGTGGGCCGTGCCAGGCAGGACTGCCCCATAAAACAACTTGTGAGAGCGGCATGTTTGTGCGCACTTGACCCGGGTGCTTCTGCCTGCTGTAGTGACTTCTCAGCATCCTCACCCAGCCCACGGCGGCCAACAAACCAAGGGCCTCCCTGAGGCACTGCCTGCATCTTGTGTGGGACCAAGCTAGTGGCCAGGTGTAACTATACAGGAGGAAGGCTTCACCTCCAGATCAAACCACAGCTATACTGGAGGAAAGCAGCTGCTCCTCAGCAGCGCCCAGGCAATTCGGAGGCCTGGAGGGACAGCCCTCCTGTGCTTTGCAGGGGCATGGAGCAACACTACCGTCCTGCTGCTGCTTCCAGCGTGGCTACAGGGGCCTCATGCCAGCCAGGCTCGTCATTGTTCTTGGTTTTAAATACACAAAATGCAGCCAGCGAAGTCGGAGCCCAGATCCGTAAGCTCTGGACACTGTGCCCCAATGACCCCACGGAAGAAACGACACCAGCTCTGCAGGCAGTTCAGTCTGCAGGTGCCTGTGGCGTGCTAGCTCTGCTCCAGGGAGGACGGGGCCAGAGAGCCTCCGGTGATCCCCCCTTGCGACCAAAACCCCCCAGGCTGACTCACTGGCTGGGCTGAGGCTGGAGCTTTGGGGTAAGGCAGAGGCAGACCCTTCCATGATGTGTAAGGTCATTGCCGTGACAGCCTTCGGAAAGAGCCAAACCACTTTCCCTCCCACTGACTTTTGCCCTGCATGGGGTAAGGAGCCTTTTTTCCACAGCCTGTTTGTTTGTCCTCCGTTGTACTACATTATTTGCACTATTTGAAAGGTTTTGTTTGCAGCCTACAACCCTCCTCCCACCCCAAAGGAACTGAAGCTGTTCTTTTACCTGACTGCAGAAACAGACATGCTGCTCAGTCGGCGCCTGAACTACTGATTGCTAAAGTGTCTCCTACAAGAGTAGGAAAAGGAACAGTCTTAACACGGGACACTCTCATGATCAGCTTTTTAAGTTATGCACTTTGTAAAAAAAAAAAAAAGTTAAATACATTTTAAATGTTATTTAATGTCTTTTCCAGTAAAAGCCAAAATAAATAAGTAGATGACTGTGGTGTGTCCATGTTTGGGGGGAGAGGGAGGGGAGGGGGCTGAAGAATTCACGTGTGCACAATTTTAGGGGAAAGTAAAGCTATTTCTGTAGCTTCTGTTGAAGTTGCAGGGTCATAGAGGGCTTACGTGGCCCAAACTGGAGACGATGGGGTGGTGTTTTCATTACTGTCATGTCCTGAGGTTGGCAGAGGCACACGTGCCTCGCTCTGCTACAGCTTCGCCTTTGCTGTTTGCACGTACGTACACTTGATCAAGAGTACACTTATCTATGGAGAAGACTAGTGACAAATAACTACTTACAACAGTCCTGCCATACAGCTGTGCCTTGGATTTCTCAGCAGCACTCTACCCTTCCATTGTCTGAGAAAAGAAACCACGGTGTAGAGAAACAAGCACCTCTGAAGGGATGCTTTCAGACACCATTTCATTTTCTGCTGATTGTCATCTCTTTACAACTGTATTAAAGCTGCAAGGAAAGAAATACAAAATAAACACCCACCTAGAAACCCCTGCAGATACACCAAAGGAAATGGTTTATACAGCAATAAACCCAGTCCTTGAAGTAAAGCTTTTAGTACCACAGCTCATTAAAAAAATTAAACTCCTTTATTTGGCAAATTAGAAAAAATCAGGGCTAGCACAATAATACAAATAACGATCATGCTAGTTTCATCTTCCCTCTCCCCCACTTAATCCATGGTTAAGGACTGCAACCTCGCGCTCATTACTCCAAATTAGCTCAGCTGCGATTGAAAAGACAGACTTAAACCCGGCGCCAGGAGCAGGTCCTGCACTTCATTTCAACGTATGCTTCTCATGAGAAGAGATGGGACAGCTCGGCTGGATTGAAAGGAGATGACTGATGGCGCCTTCTGGACTGGACACAAGAACAACCACTGAACGGGGCACACCAGATTGTCACATTTTTCCAGTTCTTGCTTCAGGACCTTTCGTACCTGGGCTGTCCTCCCACAGGCCTGCACACCGAGTGCCTCGCTCGCTTCACAGCGGGCCTGAAGGGAGGGACGTCTACAAAATTTGGTTAATGAAGCAACACCTGACCCCTGAGCAGGACAACTTACCAGCACTGCAAAGAACGCCTGCCTGGGTTTCAGGTTCATCCTCATTTGAGCCACTTCTTGCAGACCAACCTCCCCAAAGCCTTCTCCTGTCCTAGCACTCAAGGAGCAGCAGGAAAGGTGCCGGCAGGACAGAGCCCATCGCTATATATCTAGGTGAAAGCTGGAAGCTGCAGGCTTTTCTTGGTGCACCAGCTGTTGTTTGGATTTGTACAGAAATGGTTTGTGGCACATGGAGTCCATCAGAGGAGGGTAATACTGCCTGTAGCAGAGGTACGCAAGCACGAAGCCGATCGCTGAACCAACCAACACATCTGCGGGCAGGACCAGAGGAGAGATAACTTCCCTTTACCCTCCCAATCCTCGTCAGTGAATTCTCCAGCAGGCAGCTTTTCAGCCTGCTCAGAGCTGGGCTGGATCGGCAACTTGACCCTTGGCTATAAAACTGAGCTTGGCATATATTTCAAAAACAAAGAGAAAGGCATCATCACCTTGCAGGCAGCAAAAAAATTACCACTGGAGGAGTAATCAAAAAACCCAAGTTGCCATCATGGGCTCTGAACTCCGCTGCAGCAACATGGACCCTCCCCACGCTCAGAGTGCCCCCGCTCAGGGCACCCAGTCGTGGCCCCCGTCCAGGTCCGGAGGCAGACGCCGACCCACCTTGCCAGTGGTGCTTGTAGTCGCAGGTGCGGGACACGGCGATGAGGGTGGCGAGGAACAGTGGGAGGAGGAAGGTGCAGAGCCGCAGAGCCCTGCCTCCCTGGCCAGGAGTGAAGCAGCGCAGCTTCCCGGCTATGTAGAAGGCAGAGAAGGAGAGACCAGCAAAGGCAACTGAAAGAGAAGCATGTCGCTTCAGAAATGGCTCCGGGCTCTGCTGTGGGCCCTCAGCCAGACCTTCACCCTCTCCCCTGCTGCAGTGGAGGGGCTGAAGGAGGACATCTGTCCTGCCCACACGAGCCAAGGGAAGCACCAGCTCGTGAGCGATAGAGGAGCCATAGAAGCTGGTACTTGGCAAGCATCCCTCCTCCCAGGAGTTACAGACAGCTTCAGATTACATTTGTCACCCCACTGCTTTGCAGAGGGAAAGCTGGGGCCCCCAAGCAGGCCAGTGAATGTAGCCAAAGCCACGGGGTGCATGAAAGCAAACCCAAGCTGCTCTCCCCACGGACTTCTGCTCGCCACGGTTCATTGTCTGGGGCTGCAGTGGGTAGGGGACATGGAAAACTTACACGAAGCGTGTCCGCTGGGGAAGCTTTTGCGTCCCTCAGTCACTATGCCAGGGTCGCCTGTGCACACCAGCTCCGCGTTTGCTCGTCCGTCTGGGAAGCATCGATAGAAGAAGTCCGGCCGTGGTCTAGAACAGAGAACAAAGCACATAGCCCTCGGGCGTGCAGTGCTCCCAGCACCGTGCTCAGGAGACATGCGAGCACCCAGCCCTCCCACGGAGCACCCACGTCCGAATGCAGTCGCCAGCCACCTTGCACAGCTCCCTCCATTGCACAAAGGGAAGGCGGCGCGACCCAGGCTGCGAGAAATACAAAACTGAGCATCGCACCCAGCTCCACTCCTGCCTGGGCAGGCAGGGCTCGGCAGACGAGAACCAGGCTGCAGCAGCACACCCTCACTGGCCCCACTGCTGCTTAGGCAGGACCTGGTTTAGCCCCTGGGGATTAGCACTGTGCTGATCCTCCCCGTCCAGCCCAGTGGAGCAAATGCCTTACAAGAACCGAATTTCCATGCGGCCTCAACACGCCCTGGTTGCACAGCCTGCGGGCACACCGGAGCAAACCTCTCAGGCTGCAGCTCGCCACAGGTAACGTTTTGCTACCCTGACCACATGGCTCGGGGAGATGAAACCATCCCATCCACTACCTGTATGCATGCCAAAGTGCTCCTCCCTGGCACAGGCCTGAACGAGCCCATCTAAATGATGCCCGGAGACAGCAGGTCCCCGCCAGTGTTTGGTTTAATATTTAATTGTCTTTACAGCTAGAAAAAACACATTCTTTCCAGGCTGAGTATGTCCAACCTCAGCTTCTGGCCCTTGCTCCTGCTCCTGTAGCTCTACCACTGCGCAGACGTGCCTCCCCTCCCCGTACGGCGCAGCTCGGAATGAGCCAGTTTCTCACCTCCCCACAATGAGCTTCAGAGCATTTGTAAAAACCCCATTCAGGGCGAGAGCAAGGCTGGCAGCTAGGAGAGAGCAGAGAGGTCACGTCAGCATCACCCCCACCTGAATGTGCAGCTTAGAGGCACATTCAGGCACAGGCAGTGCTCAAACTTCAGGTGGAGCCACACAGCTCGGCTTTGATACCCCTGGCACAACACTTGTGCCCCAGCAAGAGCAAAGGACTCATCTGTGAGGCCCCTGGCTCACAGCCACAGCATCAGGGCAAATCCCTCGGGGGGCTGCAGCTCTCTGGGATAAGAAGGAGCTCACCTAGGCAGGCTTCCCGCGTGTCTTCTCGGTCGGCATTCATGAACACCCTTGCCAGGACAATGAGCAATAAGGGAGACAGGAATGCGATGAACTGCCACAAAATGAGAAGTTTGTTAGGTGTCTGTTAGCGAAGCAGATTTAAGCACTCTCACCAGAACACAACAGCAATTGCTCAAGGAGGCTACACCTTCCTTCCCCAAAGCCAAGCAGCAACCTGTCCTCTCCGCACGCAATTACGCTTCCATCAGAAAGCAAAACCAACCCCAGCTGTATTTGCAGCAAACCCTGGCTAACCCTGTGCTCCCCAGAGCATGGCTGTTCCTCCCGTTTGTCATCCAGTGGCAGCGCCTCACGTACAAAAGCAAGCCCACGGGTCGCTGGACGTTGTCTGTACCGATGCATGAGAAAAAAAACACCCAGGCGGCGTAAATAATGCAGCGCACTAAAAAGCCCCTCTCTGCATCCCACTCCTTCCCATGCTTCGCCCACTGAGTGCACACGCTCAGCAGAGCAGCAGAGCCTTCCCTCCTCTGAGAAAAGCCCAGCACGTCCTCAAGCTCTCAAATAGCACCTCTGGCACGAGAGCGCTGCTCTGGCTGGCTTCACGTCACTCCTGCCTGCAGCTCCCTCCTCTTCTGCTTGCGGGTATCCCTTCACAGTATCAGCCACAGCACCTCAACTCTCCCCATCCCTGCAAGCACAAGGATTAGCTCTTTGTCAGCAGCACCCATGCTGCTTGTCAGCAAAAAATACAGGAGCCGCTGATTCAGAGAAAACCAGTTATCATTCACAACATCTCAGCGGCGACTGCTGCTGTGGGATTTCACCCCGGGGACGTCCACAGTGTGTCTGACAGGCTCCCGAGGAGTCTGCTACCACCTGAAGTCCGGCATACATCGTACTTTACACCGCCAAATCCAAACGCTACACCAAGGTTTTGTCCTTTAATGATTAGTGCCTACCTCTTGCAGAAAATCAGAAGTGCTACTTGCTAAGAAAGTGGATGCTTGCCCAACCCGGGAGCCACAGCATCTCACCGAAACACCCCTGCTTCAGAGGAAGAGACAACCCCTTTAACGGACTGTTGTCCGCTTGAAATCCAACACTTACAGTTTTATATCAAACCCTTTTAACAGAGCCTAGAGACCTAGGGAAAACATCTTCACAATAAAATTATAATAAAACTTTGCTGAAAATAGCTACTTTAAAGCGAAGCGTTCCCTGATAACGAGAGATGTGCTGTCCTCCATGGTCCTAGTAATCGGGACGTGAAATTGATTATGAACAACAGTGAAAAGTTCCCGCTAGTTTTTATAAACTTAGTTAAAACCCCAAAGACAACCGTGGGTGGTAAAGCCTAAATAAATGACAAAAATGACTGTAAATGTTGTCTAGTTTGCAATAATATAATGCACTCTCAGTAACGTGCATTAAGAACTACCGGTATTCGCAATGCAGCCTTTTAGCTAGTAGCTTTGCTTTAAAAGGATAGTTTGCAATCAGAGGAAAGACTAAGTAAATACAGGAAACCGCTGAACTTACAAACATGGGTACTGTGGGTACGTGATCCGCTTCTACGTAGGGGTTTTTATAAAGCCACATCTCTTCAGGCTGTACCACGCGCTGAAACGGAGGCAAAAACTCCATGACCCTGGAGAGGAAAGAGAAAAAGAAAATCAGATTTTGGGCAGGCTGCGCCCAGAACCTGCGGTTCAGAGAGACCGGGCGAGCGGGAGCTCTGCCCACCCCCGTCGCACGGGAGGGGACG